AAGGTTCTGAAGGTTCTCAAGGTTCTGAAGGTTCTCAAGGTTCTCAAGGTTCTCTGGTGTTTCGTCCCTCAGGAGGACGTGGAGCATGACGACCACTGTGCCATCTGTAAGGAGGACGGAGAACTGCAGCTCTGCCACAACTGCCCCCGAGCCTTCCACCCCAACTGCCTCCACCCGCCCCTCAGAACCCCCCCCAGAGGCCCCTGGTACTGCCCCAAGTGTCAGAAGAAGGTACTGCACTTTATTACACTGACGTCAGTGAGGTCGTTTGTTTTAAATCTGCGAAAAGACGAAGGAACATGTTGGACTGAGAGTTAGCTTAGCTTAGCATAAAGACTGGAAACAGATGGGAACAGTTAGCTTGTGTCCACTAAAGTTTCCACGGATTTTCTTTAATTTAAACAATTAAACAGTTTAAAGAGAAAAACAACAGATGATGATGATGAAGATGATGAAGATGATGAAGGTGATGATGATGATGAAGATGATGAAGGTGATGATGATGATGATGATGATGAAGCTGATGATGATGATGATGAAGGTGATGATGATGAAGCTGATGATGATGATGAAGGTGATGATGATGATGTCGTCTGCTCCTCAGGTTTTGAACAAAGAAAACATGTCGTGGCCTCAGAACTTTGTTCAGTCCTACGTTACACACAAGACGGGTGAGAACGAGCGTCTGTCTTCACATGAGTGTGTGTGTGTCCTTTTAAACATGCTCTGATGAAGTGTGTGTGTGTGTGTGTGTGTGTGTGTGTGTGTGAGCAGTGAGGCAGGAGGAGAAGCGACGACTCCTGAGAAGAAACAACGAGCTGAAGACAGAATGCGCTCATCTGGAGGAACAAGACGAAGAGCTCAACCAGACACTGAAGGTAAACACACACACACACACTGACACAGACAGACAGACACACACACAGACACACACAGACACACACACACACAGACACACACACACAGACACACACACACACACACACACACAGACAGACACAGACACACACACACACAGACACACACACACAGACACACACACACACACACACACACAGACAGACACAGACACACACACAGACAGACACACACACACCAGAGAAACGTCTTCTATCTGATGAATCCTGAAGAACGAAGTCGTAGATCAGCTGATTTGACATCAGTTGACAACAGCCGCCTGAGGTCATGTGACTGTGAAAGACAGGAAGTTGACGTTGTTGTTTCCGCAGCAATGTCAGGACCTGAGGGAGCGGCTCCTCGATCAGCAGAGAGACACTCACGCGTCGCTCGACCGCCTCAAGGCTCTTATCAGGCTGATCCAGCGCGACCAGCTCATCCAGGTCACCATGACGACCACGGCCACCATCGCCGCCTCCTTGCTCTCCCAGTCTTGGATCAAACCCACCAGCACCGCCGCCCCGGGGCCGTCGGCCACACCCCTGCCGAAGAACCACGCCCACAGCCAGGACAGTGTCAACAACTAGCCCCGCCCCCTGCGGTCGTCGAGGAAGGTGATTTCTTTCAAGGTTTTCAAACATCTTTTCTCCGAGAGCCGAAACAAACTGAGCCTCGATCCACTCGATTCAAGTATTTTTTAAATCCAACACCTACAGTGCTTACGAGATTTCTTTCTTTTTTAAGTTCTTTTCTATTTATTCATGTTCTTGGCCTTAATGTATTTATTACAAACCGTTAGACGACTGAGCCGTCGCAGGAAACCAGGAGTTTTTCTGCGCGCTCCGAAAGATATTTCCCTTTTTTAAACACAGGTATAATAACTGTTCTGCGTATAGAGAGAGAGAACGGTAGAGTTAGTCGTAGTGGAAGAAAACAAAGCGTGGATGGAAGTGAACGACTGTACATTGATATATCTGAGTAGATGTTTGTTCTCATTCTCCTATGAACAATGTTTTTTGCCATAATAATTCAGGAAGATGTTTCATGGTGTATGTAAACGAGCCTTCGAACAAAAACAGAGAATAACTTTTTTTCAGTATTAATAGAGTCAAAGAAAAAAGTATTTAAGATAAAACTACAGAAATTAGCATTTCTAGTGGAGATTTTAGTATTTTCATGCTGATGCCTGTTGATAAATGTAAGTTTGGAGTATTCAAGGGGATCACTGTACATATGTTGTATTATTATTATGATTATTAATATCATCATCGCAGGTTTTCTCGGTTGTCAAACATCTGAAACTGAAGCGAGTCCCTGTTTGTAAAACTGACGAAACACAAACAAGAGAATGAGTTTGGTCATTTTGAACTGACGTCTCTGTCCATGATCGTAAAACGTTCCGAAGACGTGAACAAAGACAGATAATGGACCGAACGCTCTGAGGACACAGTGTTGAGCATCGACACGAGAGGAGACGCTGGAAAACATCGTGTCTCCTTTAGATTAAAAATGATTTCATGAATTCAAAAAAATGAAAATGTTTTCTTTTCTTCACTAATTTTCTTGTTTCAGTATCTTGAAGACAAATCAACTCATTTTCTTGTTTGAGGAAACAAACAGTTAAAACCAACAGGAGCTCCAGTTTCGTTGGTTCACAGCTGCACTCGAACACAACACGTCGACGTGCGATGCATCCGTTCGTCCCCGCCCCCTTTAACCAGTATAGAAAATATGCCAAAAACTCTTTGTTTTTGTACTGGGGTCGTTCATCTATCAATAATGTCCATTGTGCTTTCTTCTCCTCCCTGCCTGTTTTATATTTCTGCCGTTGAATCTTTTTTTACTCGTGTTTCCGAGCGTTTGAACAGCGACGAGCCTGTTGAGCGACAGATGAACACTGCCTCAAGTACAAATCCTTTCAATCCAGGGTTTTCTCTTTGTTTGCGTCATTTTGTAGAAACCAGTCAATCACACACGGGACAACTCTGTCAAACTGCAACAACTTTGACTGTCGCTGGACGAGCGGATGACGTCGTCCTGGTTCAAAACAAAGAAGCAGGACGCCGCCGTCACGTCTCGCTCGCTCCATTTATCTCGCTAGTCTTCCTGCTGGTCCAGAGAGGTTCCGTCCAAATGTGGAGAACGTAGATTTAGTCCATTTTTTATTTCCTGTCTCTCTGACACACGCTGATGCACAAACACGGAGAAACAAATAGTTCAGAGAAAAATGCCTTTTAAAGAAAAGAGGAGATTTGTGACTTTAGAGAAGAGATGATTTTATTTGAATTGAATCATATCCTGTTTGTCCTGTGACGTATCAAAGATACTGAACTGATCCTGGTTCATCCCAAGCTTCAAAGTTAAACGAAGTAAATATATCATGAAGTATATCATCAATGTTCAAGAAGAAATACACGTTAAAAAGCTCCAGATCATCAACACGCGTGTAAATCAATGAAGTCACTTCCTCTCGATCCGGAGTGAACGTCAGAAACTTTAAGAATCTGAAACTCAAACCAACGATTCTTCGGCTTGTTTTCATCGAACTGAGTCAAACTCTGTTTTCATTCGAGTCCAAAATGAAAAGTTAAACTAAAGTACAGATTCAATTCTCTGTAAAGTAAAACATTTGAAAACTGAAACTTTTGTCTGTTCAACAAAAGAAAGATTTGAGAACCAGATGATTTAAAGTCATTGAAACTTTAACATTAGAATCAATTCTACACGTGAAACACGTCTCATTTAAACTCTGTTGGACTCAGAGCTTCACTCGACTGAGACAAATGAAATCCATGGCCGGTGGAATCGTTGCAGCTCAGGAGCCCGGAGACGTTTCTAACGTCTGACATTTGCCTTTTTAAAGAACATGGTCAGTTGGAGCTGCCTCCTGTCACTTCTGTCACTGCGGACGTCATGTGATGCATATTCAGTTTCACCGAGAGCCGCCGGCGCTCCAGGTGACGTAAAAAAAAAAAAACATATCAGCGCTCTGTCACGTCGATGCCGCCCCCTTCAGACCCCGCCCCTGCAAATTAAGCGTTAAAAAAGGCCCCTCCCACCACCACCCACCACCCCCACCCAACCTCGTCATCCATTTCTAGAAATCTTCTCCGGGAGAAACTGTGCAGTGCTTAAACAGATCTATTTTAATACACAACTCAACATTTGAACAAATAAGAAAAAAGACGTAGAACATTTTTATATTCTTTTACCAAGGAGCAAAAAAAAGAAGAGAACAGAACATTGGGGTTTTCTATCGTTTGCTGGTTCTGCATTCTGACTCTTTGTATTATTTGAGCCACAAGGAGGCGCTGACACGACGAGGGCGTTTAGATGGAAATGAAATGTCTGTTGAAGTAGAAGTTTTCTTTGTCATTGCTAAGGGGACTGTCCAGTGGATAGTGTGTATAGGAAAGTGTTTGTCTTAAATATGCCAATGTAGTTTTTTCTTCTTTATGATGCATTAAAAACTTGATGGATGGACGTTGGTAAATGGTTAAAGAGTAGTCTCACTTTTTTGTACCAAGTTCTTACAAAAAATTGAATCATTAATAAACAAATTCAAGAACAAAACGTTTGGTTCAAGAGAGTTTTTGTCTTTTACTCAGAATTTGGTCTCAGAACACGTCAGGTTCCATCTCTGAACTCAGAGGAGTTATTTCACTTTTATTTGTTCAGAAGCTTCTGTGCTGCTGACAAGTTCATTCTGTTGAACCGTTAATTAATCACACGCTCTTTTTTTAAAGTTTATTCTTTATTGGACGTTGTCAGAATGAAATGTGGGAGAAGGTGAGTAAGAAAAACACGCAGCTCCACCAGGTGAGCTAACTCGTGAATAACTAACAGCTCAAAGCTGCGCTGCAGAGAAAAATCACAATCGTCAGAGTGGAGGGGTCCACGTCTGGAGAATCTAGATTCTTGAAGCTTAAGGTCAAAACCTCCTGAGATGATGAAGAGATTTCATTCAGTTGATTTAAAAAAAGTAGAAAACCTTGTGTCAGTGGACCCAGAGCTGCCGACCCGCAGCTTCAGGGCGTCACTTCTCCCGCTGCACGGCGAGAAGAGAACACGGTGTGGAAATGTTCGATGAGCAGCTCGGTGAAGATGTTGACGGGCGTCAGAGCCGTGAGGGAGATGGAACCATGACGAGGCCAAACCAGGTTCACCCCGAACACACACGACAAGTTGGACGGACTCATCTTGTTACTGATGCTCTCCTGAGACACCTGAGACGGCCAATCACAGAGGGCTTCATCGTTTACATCACGTTACATCATCGTCTACCCACAAACACCTTCAGACGGACACACATCACATGACCAGTAACCACTGATGACATCACACACGTGCAACAACTCGTTAGTGACACGAGACTGAAACTAGAAACAAGCTGAGCTTCATGTTAGAGAATCGATATTTGATCAATTCATAATAATAATATATAATACGGATTAATTCAGATTAWWTCAGATTAATTCAGATGAATTCAGATTATATCAGATTAATTCAGATGAATTCAGATTATATCAGATTAATTCAGATGAATTCAGATTATATCAGATGAATTCAGATGAATTCAGATTAATTCAGACTATATCAGATGAATTCAGACTCACCATGTGGAGGAAACACAGCAGAAACTTCACCACGATGAAATTATGTTCAGGAAGACTTTCAACAATCTGTTTACACCTCGTCACACGGAGGATGTTCTCCACATCTGAGCCACGAGAGAGGAAACACTGATTGATATGAATGAATATATTTGAATATAGACTCTGATCTGGAGACGACAGACTCACTGAGGATGTCCTGGACTTGGCTGTAGACTCTGAATGTGAGCACAGGTTCAGGAAGTTCTCTGAGGAACGTCTTCAGGATCACAGCAGGAACATGGACGTCACCGTACTGAGCAAAGTTCACAGGCTTCCCTTCAAGAATGAGACAAATATATATACACGTGAATATTTATACTTTATAAAACTCTTAACAATAAGTTTACTCTGTGATTTATCCACAAAACAAAGACAAAAGATATTCAACGAGAGAAACAGGAAATTAAAGTCAGATCTTCAGATTCACTCACCGAGATTAAAGAGCTTCTGAACGTCCTTAATGAGCTGAACACGAGCCGAGCGTCTGAAGAGTCCCTCTGTCCTCAGACCTGAGACACAGAGACGGACACAGAGAGACTAAGAGACAGACACATCAAGAGACAGAGACATGAAGAGACAGAGACATTCAGACGATGACACAGAGAGACAGAGATGTCTGTGATGTCACATGACCTGGTGATGAGATCATGAACAGTTGTGTGATTTGTATGACCCCCCCCCCCCCCCAGACTCTGGTGGTTGTGGGTGTCTCACCGTTCTCCTTCAGGTATCGAACCGTCTGAAGCAGCACAGGCGGAATCGTGGCCCCCCCGTTCTTCTCTCTGATGCTTGGAACACACACGTCGTTGAATCCATTAGTTTTTGCTCAGTGGCGTGATGTTTGAATCAAAGCGTCAGTGAACGGACTCACTACTGAAGACTGACTCCAAACTGCTGAGTGGGCAGGGGGGGGCGGGGCGGCGGCTTCTTCACCGGGGGAGGGGCTCCGCCTCTCTGAGCCGCTCGTAACTTTTCATCGTGTCTGTGAGAAGAAAAACTAATGGGATGTTTTCTTCAAATGAAGAACTCAGCGTTCTGTGTGCACGTCACGTGACTCGTACCTGAGGACGTCAGCAGGGACGACGAGCTGCTCGAAGTTCACGTGTTCTCTCAGCTCGTCCAGAAAGTTCACGTACGTCAGCTTCTTCCCGAACTTGTGGCTGAAGGAAACAAAACGAGCAGAAACTGAGGAAGAGACGAGAGTTTGAGACTCGACAGGCGAGAAGATTTTTACCTGATCAGAGGTTTGAAAATGTTCCAGACGATCCGGATGAAGTTTGTGGGATGAACCACGTAAAGAGTCTTCAGGTTCTTCTTGTATCTGAAACGACGTGAGCAGTTTCATCAGAGGAGGGTTAGGAGGGTTCCACACACACACAGGGAGGTGACCTACTTCCTGTCGAACTCGTTGTACGCTTCTCGTAACCATTTCAACGACGGCTTGTTGCTGCTCCTCAGACCGTGATGGAAATAAACCAGGATGTAGTCCATCTCCACGTACTGGTCCAGCGTGAACTTCAGGTACCTGCAGCACAGACGTGTTGTGAGCAACCAGTCGCTCTGCGTCACCTGTGTTTCCCATGTGTTTCCTGTGTGTTTCCTGTGTGTTTCCCGTGTGTTTCCCTTGTGTTTCCCGTGTGTTTCCCGTGTGTTTCCTGTGTGTTTCCCGTGTGTTTCCTGTGTGTTTACTGTGTGTTTCCTGTGTGTTTCCTGTGTGTTTCCTGTGTGTTTACTGTGTGTTTCCCGTGTGTTTACTGTGTGTTTCCTGTGTGTTTCCTGTGTGTT